ACAGCACGACACACAGACACACACACAACTACACACACACACGGTGTACACACACACACACGGTGTACACACACAGTCCACACACACGGACCGCGTGCGTTTTAAAGTCGTTAGTTGGTGGTTTTAACGACACAAAGCTCTCAAAGCGGCGCCTTTAACGCTCGTTCTTCTGGTGTAAATCAGCTCCTGCTTCTCGGCGGCCGGAGATCAGAAGCAGCGCGTCAGGAAGTAGACGCGTCTTTGTGAATCGCATTTGCGGGACGGAGGAAGGAATTCGCTTAATTGTATCATCACCTGCACCGAGTGTCTTTTAATCTTTGCAGTAAATGTAACTGTCGCGTCTCTGATATTCACTGAGAGATGATTTCTCTTAAAAACGCATGCTCCCCTTATGCATACAGCACATAATACCTGCATTAATCTTACTGTTGAGGCTGCAGGCTGTGCAAAACAGAAGGAGGGGCTCATAGCCGTCATATATTATGTATTATATCTAATGTACTTTGCATGATGGTATTAGGCCACTTCATTTAACCTGCCCAGGGACTGCATACGATAATTATCTATTATCTATTACTACTGACACACATTTACATTTAGGTAGAAAACTGAAATGTTGATTAATGTGCACTCTGGTGAATTAATAAAAAGAAGCCCTGCTTTCTGAGGCCTGTTTTGCATTTATAAAGTAAAGCTTGTTTTGAGGTTTTAAAACCATTATCAAGTTAAAAATAGACAAGTTTACTCCCAAACCGAAGGCTGTTGACCAGGTAGAAAACAAACCCTCCAGAGTGCGTCATGTGACGAGGATCGACCAATCACAGCCGGCCTGATAGCTGACTCGGGTCTACCTGGAGCTCTCCCATCGTCGACACCAATCTCTTTATAAATAACGGTAACATGGGGGTCCTTGGGGGGGGCTCTGTGTGTGGCGGGGTCCGCCTCACATGGCCAGGGCTCGGGCCTTGGCGGCGGCGGCCTGCGCTCTCTGCACGGCGCCCGCGCTGCTCTCCCTCCTCCTCAGCTGGTTGGTCTCGAACAGGCCCTCGTGGCCCCCGGCGCCGGGGCCCCCGTCCAGCGGCGTCAGGACTCCTGTGAGCGGGACGAGTCGGGTCAGACGCTTCATCAGAGCACGCGGCAAAGACATCAGAGGTCGCGGAGATCAGAACGTTCCCAGCATGCCGTTCGGCCGCCACAGGTGAATGTTGGTCTTTGAAATCTCAATTTATTTAATATTTGTAACTTTTATAACTCTAAGATATTTTTCAAGGGGAGTTCGGGTCTCGTATTGTTTGATTAATAAGTTTCTGGGAGCACGTTTTCAATCCGTCCTCTTCAGCTTCACTCACTTGAGAAATAAGAACATTAGTGGCTGCAATCAAGTGTGCACTAATGTGTTTTTGTCCTCTATACCTACAGAAAAAGAGGGCAGAGAGGGTTTTTCTGAAGAGGCATTAATTATTCCTTCACATTTCAGAGAGGCTTTTGTTTCGCCGATGAATCCGTCTGGTTCTCTTTGCACGCCACCAAACGAAACTAAACTTTTTCCCAAATGCAAACACCAGCCAGTGAACTCCCTCCCCATCCTTTGTTAATTATCTTCCCTTTCTTTAAATAAATATACGGTAATAACTAAGCTCCTCGGAGCGTCTTTGTGTTTCAGCACCTTGATCTCCTACCTGACTTCTTCCTTCCTTTAACGGGTTCGTGTCACGTGGTCCTGAACGCGTGTTAATCATCAACAAAAAGCTCCATAAAAAGCATTTTTAGGAACGAGGCTAAAGAACCCGTTCTGATTCAGGGACCTGCTGGAATCTCATTGTTTCATCTATGCTTTTTACAGTCGTCATGGTTACACAAATAAAGAGGTGGTAATTACCACGCGGTGAGCTCCTGGTCCAGACAATTAACACATTTCACTCTTTAATATGATCAAAAGGTATTTATAACAATAAGTATCAGAAAGAGAACTGTAACCAGACTTTTGTATAAAGTGACACAAACTTCACTTCTAATTTCATTAAAGAGGAACTCTAACGCACTGAGCAAAACTAACTAACTAACCATTCATTTAAAGGGCTCTTAAAGGCCTTTAAACAACCTGTTGATTACCTGCATGACACACGTTTGACTTATAAATACGGCTGTCAATAGATTAAAAAAACAACTAATTAATCGCACATTTTGAAATTCATTAATCTCAATTAATGGCGATTAATGAATGTTGTTGTTGTTACAATGTTGTTTATAATGAATGTTTTTTCATCTTAGCAGTAATGAGTAATCACTTTAGAAAGTGTGTATTTTAGACACTGTTGTTTAATTGTTAATGCTATTTTAAAAACAAACAAACAACAAACACATGTGATCATCTTGGAGGCAGAATTCCACAACTAGCGACTCTTCCTGTTGTCCTCGTGCACTTTGGGCTCAACTGTCCATCGTTTAACGGCTGTGTTTGAAACGCCAACAATCTCCCCACATTCAGCAGGACGTTTTCAAAACCGATAGATATTCTATCTATTAAATGATGCATTCATGCACTTTAATTAAAATAAGTGACACCTTTACAAGCAGAAGGATCACTTTGTATGCTGCTCCAGATTAAAGTTTTACCTTAATTCTTAATAAATATCCTGATTAATTACTGGTTGTGTTATGGAACATTAAGCTTAAGCAATCCAAAGCAACTAAAGTTCTCAGAAGTAAAGTACAAGTACAGCAGTAAGTACTTTCTTCAGGTCCTTTTAAAGCGTCTCACCGTATCCGTCCACACATCCGCTGCGGAACTCGCCTTCGAACCTCATCCCGTCGAAGCGAGTGAAGACGCCGGCGCCCTGAAATTTACCCTGAACGAATTCTCCTTCATACCTGGAGCACGAACACAAACGAACACACTTGTAAACACTTACAAGGAGAAGAAAAGAGGTTAAGTAGTGAAGCACTTCATCTAAGATCGTTTAAGAATGAAAGAAAAGAGCTGTTGTTTTTCGTGCCGCGTTGCTTCACTTCGTAATGTTCAGTTCAGCGGCTTTAACTCACTTTACCAACAAAGAACACGAACGGTTCTTCAACAAAAAGCTCTTTTTATCTCTGCACAGTCTCATCACAGAATACCGCGGTGACATCGCAACATGACTTCATACCATGAGATCACATCACACCATGACATCACATTATTACTTCATAACATGACATCACACTCCTGCTGTGGAAGATAACATTACATCACAGCATGACATCACACATAACGTCATAACATAACATAACATGGCATGACATCAAACAGAACAACCTTCCCGAAGCTTCTTTATTCGATTTTACTAAACCTGTTCACTACATTTTTCACTTGTAGACTCACAGAGATGAAACGAGACGCGAGTGGAACCAAACCAATGAAATGATTCAAACAAATGAATCCGAGTGGCACTCGGAGTGAAGCGCAGGAAAACCATCAGCGACATTCACCTTCACCTGAGTTTATCTTTTATTTCACCTCCCTCTCAGATAAGAATGGGACTTTTGAATCGGCGCCCCGAGCCACCGGCAGCTCAACAAGACCTTCTATGCCGCCTTCAAAAAAATCCTTCACCCGCCACTCGTAGTGAGAAGAAGCCGCGAACCTCTTAGAGCGCCTTTCAGGTCCAAGGACCGGAACGGTCTCTGAAGGCGGATCTTCACTCGGCTCCTTTTGTGTTCCAGAACGGGCGAGCGGAGAATGAAGCGAGGCCTCTCGCTGCTTCCATACACTGAAGAGCTGAACGCTATGTTTGGGGTCACGGGTCACATCTTTTTGATCAACTTTTTTTGAAAACCAAATGAAGCAAAGTAGCAGATACAAGAGAGAACTTCTTCAGAAATAATCATCGCCTTCAAAAGGTTGAGATGATTGACCCATTTAAAGATGTTTCTTTGGGCTTTGGCCCAATATTGCTCTTTATTACAAGCTTTCAGATCTTTCAAAGCAATTCAGCGTCCGAAGGTCAAAGGTCACATGAGCTGGCAGTGTGGGCACCGACCTGGAGCCGTCGGCGAAGACCAGCGCGCCGCAGCCGCTGAAGAGGCCGTTCTCAAACTGCCCCGTGTAGCACGTCCCGTCGCTGAAGGTCAGCTGACCCAGGCCGTGACGCAGCCCTGCGGACACACACGCATGTTTATCACGTCACGTGTGTGAGTGCATGTAAGATACAAGTCTGACCCGGAAGCGCCTTTGATGCATGTCAACAGACATGACAACGATGACAAAAATCTGACGCTCATCATTGAAAGCAAATATTTAAAGTTACATAGTGGTTCAATTAAATAATAATAATATGCCCCAAATGCATTTGTGATTCAAAAGAAGGACCCCCCCCCCCCCTTTCCACACGTCGCTGTGATGTGTTTTAGACTGTCAAACATTAACAGGTGTAGGTGAGGTTTGATTGTTATTGTGTAACCTTGTACATTTTAACTGTCTTTATATCTTTATGGTTACGCAAGCAGCAGCTCATATTCTTCCCCTGTGTGCTTTATTAAATCCACAACAAGCAGTTATGAAGTAGACACAAATGTGCACTTCTGCTCCATTCGGCCTTCTGTGGTTCCCTTTATCTCAGGAACCTGTGTTCCGTTTGCGCCGCGTCTCTCAAGGATTCGCGATAAACAAATCTTAATAACTTAAAGAGCACTTCAACGGTAATTAGCATGTTCTTCTCACACACTTGAACCAGAACGGATGGAAAGCAAAACAATCTTTAGAGGTCGCCGTCAAATCAGGAACGAAAGCTTAACGGGGATCCGTCAATGTTTCAAAAGAACTCCGGTGAAAAACAGAAGACTATTGAAGTCTCTCCACGCGTTCATCTCACCCAGCGTAGTATTTAAATATATACTATTTAACACCCTCTTTGCATAAATCATCAGAACGCAACAAATGAATATCACAGTTAGTTAAACTCTTCCTGTCGTTTTATTTCCGTCTCAAACAAAGTCACCGGTGATTTCCATCCACATGGGGGGACATCAAGACAAAGAGGGGCTGCATATCTGCAGCTCGTAGCTCCCTTTAGAGCACAAATAGTTCATAAAAAACATATTCACATTTCTAGTGACGATACTGAGAAGGACTTTCCGCTTTTTAAAACGGTTAAGGAAGAGGCGGCGTTAAAAATCCTGCAGCAAAATCCAATATTTGACAGGATATTCAACCTTTGTGTCCCGATCCTGCGTTTGATGCTTGAGTTTGTTCTCTGGAGGTTTTGTATGAAGGCCATAAAGTAGTCTGTGAATATGAGATATGAGTTTACAGATAGCTGAAACCCCCTCGTCACGGTGGAGATCGGTTTATGGCCTTCTGCCAGTTACAGAACAAACTTCAAAGCATTAACAGCAATGAAAGAGATTCTAATGCTGTAAAATGCTCCTGTTTCCACGGTGACCATTAGCCGGCGTCGTGCGAAGAGGCGCTTTGAAGCCGAGGTCCTCGCACGGGGGGGTCAAAGGGTGTAAGTTACAACCGGGTCTCATTTTAAGGACAATCCGCCTGTAGTGAAACTGATGATATTAGGTTTGGGAAAAAACTAATTGTTTATTGTTTAACGTAACCGTAAATAACGTTTGACGGTAAGTTAGCGTAACTTTTAAATGAAACTAGCAAACGTCCGTCCACCGTTTCCTTGTCGCGTCATTCGTACATGTGGTGAGACTACAATCAATCATTTACTCACCGTTAAGCACATCCATCGGTTCATTCTGGAACATTTTTCATTTACTGCCATAAACTCAACATGTTGTGGTTCAAATGGAGTCAGAGGGCCTTTAGTTTATTTCTTTATTTAACGGATCCACATTAAGCGATGCCACGGCAATCAGCTAATCTATCCGGGGTCTACTTACACGCAATAACTACCTGACATACGAGGTCATTCTGACATGTCACTGCAGCGTAAACACGGGGGATATTAAAAACAATGATCATTATGGCCCTGTTCCATTTATGTATTGTGCACGCCGCAATGACTGTTGCACAGCAAACAGATTAATTAACTGCACTCGGACCTGAGGTCACCCTGTAGAACGACCCTTAATAAACCAAAAATAACAGCCATACGATCCAGAGCCAGTCAGCAGCGTGCAAACACGTAGCACGCTAATTAAAAGCCCAAACACGGGGGATGTTGTGCATATGTAAATGAGACGAATAACACATGTTTGAAAAACAAGCACATCCTTCTGTTCAGTACACCCCCGAGATGAGGAGAGAACCGTGAATATTTTAATGGCCGTTTTAAGACTGAAGTACATCGTGTGCAACCGTAACTACAACTTCAAGGAAAACTTGAAGCTGTTTTGTTGGACCGGCTTCGTGCCCAGTGTCTGCAGGCGGGTACGTTAGGAGGCGGGTACGTTAGAAGGCGGGTACGTTAGGAGGTGGGTACGTTAGGAGGCGGGTACGTTAGGAGGCGGGTACGTTAGGAGGCGGATACGTTAGGAGGCGGATACGTTAGGAGGCGAGTACGTTAGGAGGCTGGTACGTTAAAAGGCGGGTACGTTAGGAGGCGGGTACTTTAGGAGGCGGATACGTTAGGAGGCGGGTACGGCGCATATTTTGGTACATAAATGTTTCCTGATTCCTGATTCCTTTGAATTTTTCTTGAATTTTTCTTGAATATTTTTATGAATATTTTCGTGAATATTGTTTGATTATTTTTTGTGAATATTTTCGTGAATATTTTTTGATTATTTTATTGAATATTTTTTTAATACTTTTTTTTCTCACCAACCATCATCCCACTGGTTCCCTATGAAGATCACTCCTTTTGTTTTCCTGGCAATATTGTAGAACGCAAGATATGTGGCAAACGCAGGATTCCCTCCCCCTTATCACATATAATAATCTTTGTAATCAATCATTCCTTTGAATATTTCTTGAATATTTTCATGAATATTTTCGTGAATATTTTTTGATTATTTTTTGTGAATATTTCTTGTGAATATTTTTTGGTTATTTTTTCAATACTTTTTTTTTCACCAAAGATCATCCCACTGGTTCCATATGAAGATCGCTCCTTTTGTTTTCCTGGCAATATTGTAGAACGCAAGATATGTGGAAAACACAGGATTCCCTCCCCCTTATCACATATAATAATCTTTGTAATCAATCATTCCTTTGAATATTTCTTGAATATCTTCATGAATATTTTCGTGAATATTTTTTGATTATGTTTTGGTTATTTTTTTGAATATTTTTTCAATACTTTTTTTTTCACCAAAGATCATCCCACTGGTTCCCTATGAAGATCGCTCCTTTTGTTTTCCTGGCAATATTGTAGAACGCAAGATATGTGGCAAACACAGGTTTCCCTCCCCCTTATCATATAAAATAATCTTTGTAATCAATCATTCCTTTGAATACTTCTTGAATATTTTCATGAATATTTTCGTGAATATTTTTGTGAATATTTTCGTGAATATTTTTTGATTATTTTATTGAATATTTTTTGATTATTTTATTGAATATTTTTTTTAAACTTTTTTTTCTCACCAACCATCATCCACTGGTTCCCTATGAAGATCACTCCTTTTGTTTTCCTGGCAATATTGTAGAACGCAAGATATGTGGCAAACACAGGATTCCCTCCCCCTTATCACATAGAATAATCTTTGTAATCAATCATTCATTTGAATACTTCTTGAATATTTTCATGAATATTTTCGTGAATATTTTTTGTGAATATTTTCGTGAATATTTTTTGTGAATATTTTCGTGAATATTTTTTGATTATTTTATTGAATATTTTTTTTAAACTTTTTTTTCTCACCAACCATCATCCACTGGTTCCCTATGAAGATCACTCCTTTTGTTTTCCTGGCAATATTGTAGAACGCAAGATATGTGGCAAACACAGGATTCCCTCCCCCTTATCACATAGAATAATCTTTGTAATCAATCATTCATTTGAATACTTCTTGAATGTTTTCCTGAATATTTTCGTGAATATTTTTCATGAATATTTTCGTGAATATTTTTTGTGAATATCTTCGTGAATATTTTTTGATTATTTTATTGAATATTTTTTTAAAACTTTTTTTTCTCACCAAAGATCATCCCACTGGTTCCCTATGAAGATCACTCCTTTTGTTTTCCTGGCAATATTGTA